GCTCCGCCCAGGACCCACACTGACTGCAGGGTACTGACAGCATCCAGGTACTGACCAGTACAAATCTATATATTCCGACTCCCAGCAAGGGAGCAACCTGGAATTCACTCTTCTGAAGCTTGTGTTGCTGAATGGAAAAGATCTCAGTTGCAGGGAAAACCTCGAATGCAGTGCAATGGGAGTGTGATTAGTTCCTCTGGATCTGAAGCCTTTTCAGACACAAACCAAGGGACACCTCGGAGCCAGGACAATGTGGAATCCTGGCCTACCTTTAAATAGGGGAAAAGATGACCACTTGCATGGCTTTTCCCAACACACTGCTAATCTATGCTGTCCTGTCTTAAAATCAAACCACTGCTTTGGGATAGGATGGAATTCTTTTTCTTGGCCGAGATAAAATCCTGTTTTTCCCCAGCACAAATAAAGGAGAGCGCTTTCAATTGACAACACTCGCCCACTCCAAACCTCCTATGTAACTTTTACCTTGACACGACAAACGTCCAGAATTTTAAGATGAGGCAAGCAGACCAAACTTAACACCCCAGTTCGGGGTGTAATACAGACTCCGTATTACGACCAACAGGGAGGACAGTTGTTGGGTGGACTTTTAAAACTTTTAAAAAGCTGGCCAAAGGAAAAGAAGGTCTCCATACATGACAAGCACAGCACACACAACAAAAGCACAAGCTACAACGAAATGAAGGGAAACCGAGCTTGAAGACGCCATGAAAAAGACTGGAGGAGGCACTTGGATCAGTGCTATAACAATTCATTCTTGATCAGGTATGACACAAGAAATAAACCCATCTGGAGAGAGCACATACATTTCAACTAACAGAGGACCCTGCTCTTCTGAAGACAGGGGCTTAGGGACCACAATGTTTAATTTCTAAGGTCTAAACGTCTACATTTTCTAGATACCGTTTTTCGACGGTGAAATATTCATTCCAGCACTGCTTAAGAGACGTAATACACAATTTCAGCTAGAACTAGGCCAGGTTATATAAAACACATTTAAAGCCTACAGCAAGCTCAAGACACGACCTACACATCTGGCAGGATACACATTATGCCCTGGCCAATATTTTCCCCAACCTATTCCAATATTCCACATCCCACATCCCTTTCTGACTCCCAACCTTGAGCAGCTAAAAATATCATTTCTTAAAATCACACCACGTACTTTCCAGGCCCGAGAGCTATGAAACCTTAAAAATAAAATACATATTGTAACAGCCCCTACAGAATCACACTACTACTGCTGCAGTGATTTAAATTTACTCCAGATCCTCAGATTGCATAACATTGTCTGCACCCAGCGTCTTCCGGGCGGTGTTCACTTTAATCTGAATCCTCAGTAACAAAATTCAAACAAACGACAAAATCCCTGTTGAAAGTCAAATTTAATAAAACGGTCTTCCCTCCAAAATGCACTTTTTTCCAGCAGCAAATACAACGCATTGATATGCGAAGATGCTCTAAGGCTTTCGCCTTATACGGCCATGGATCAAGCACCAATATGCATTATTGCTGTTAAAAACCCGCCACAGAAATTCGTGCAATTATGCGACCGCTACGGTTTACAAAAGGGACAGGTTTGTGAAATACAGGCTTTTTAAAATAGTAAAAATAACCCGCCTTTTCCTACGTGGAGCCGCAATAAACGCACTTCAATTGTTTTCGTGCAAGATCTGATCTTTTAAAACCCCGCGTATCGAATGTTATTTAAAAAGAAAAGTCGCGTCTCGTTTCCTTAAAATCAGCTAAGACACCCAAATCTCGACTCCTCCGTCTCCCCCCTCCTCCGCAGCCTCAACAACCGTCCGCATATTTCCCCCCGTCGGTGTTCAGTGTTTATTCAGAGCTCTTTCAGCACAAACCCAAGTCACCAAGCACGCAAATGACCGCGTCAACAGACGTCAGCGATACGGGGAGCCATTAATACACCTTCCCCTCCGACAGCGGTCGAGAGTCGGGGAGGAGAGACGCCATTACTGTGGCGGAGCGGCGAAGACAACACGGCCGCCGTCCGCGAACAACGACACTTTACCTCGGCAAGTCGCCCTCGCTTCAGCGCCTCGGTGCGGACTCTTCTTCTAGATAGAGACGGGGATAGCATATATCCGAGTACCGGGGTAGGAGGGAAGCTCGCACGCCGCTGTTTTTGTTATTATTTTTAAATCTATCTTGTCAATAAAAAAAATAAAAAACACGCTTTTTTTTCAAAGGAAAACCGGGGAGGGGGGGGAAGTCGAGTACCCGCCCACTAGCGGGGCACGTGATTACTCGATTGCGCCTCCTGATTGGTCGGAGGGGAGGAAGGGGGGGGTGAGTGACAGGGCTCGGGGACAGCGCGTTCCTGTGAGATCGGGAGCGCGCATCGAGGCAGCCCGCTCACTCCGGGCAATTGTACCGACTGAAATAATCGTATTATTCGTGTCATCTTCCTCAAAAATGTGGGTGTCTGGAGGCAAAGATACGGAGCTAACTGCGCTAGCTGTTTACTCCATTCCCTCTCTATTGTTTTGGGGTTGTGCTAAAATAGCAAATGAGATTTACTGTACAGCCCTGGAATTACATAATAAATCCTGTCTATTCACATATACAGACATTTCAGTACATTCATGGGTGGATTCCAGCTTTTTTTCCCCAGGAAAACCGATATAGCCTGACACAGCTATTTCTTGTTATCAGCTAATGTTACGTCTGCATTTGGCTTTTTTGACACTGATCTGCACACATAGCTTTCCCCGCAACTTTAAGTACTACACTTGCATTTCTCGGCGACGCTTTGCAAATGACTTACAGGAGCAGACAGACACACCCTGCCCCTGGTGTTATTGTTAACACTGTGAGGGTTAATACGCTACATCGCTGACGGGACCCCTGCCGCTTTGTGTAGCGTTTGATGAAGAGGGGTTGTGCCACTCTCTCCCGGTAGACCAGAATTTCCTAGCCAGCGCCCCAGTAAGGAGACGTGTTTGCGGTGGGACCTGCCATCATTCGGATGTAAAGCTAGCCCGACACCCTCTAAGGCACCCAGACCTCGATAGCCATCGGTATTCCCCCCTTCCTTGTTCAGTGTTAATTCTGCTCGGGTAAATGCTGTGCAGCAGGCTGGTCCTGACGAATTTAATACAGATCGGTGTTTTTTTGTCCCCGTATCCTGGCTAAATTCCTCCATGGGCAGTACAGTCCCCTCTAACCCCCTGGAGCAACACTCTCTCCCACGCTGGTCTGTGTCACCCAGGTGGTGCTGCTCTTCAATGGGTCAGCTTCCTGGAAGTGAAGCGCTTTATGTTGGAGACTATGAAAAATCAGTAACATACATTCAGATATTTCTTTTAAAAAAATCTCTGAGCATCAGTTAATTCAAACGCTTGGAACGAAACGAGTCAGAGCGTCTTTAGTTTATTTCCTCTCTTTCTTGAGGGCTTTCGAGAACAGCGGCCGTTGTTGCGGTCGACGCACCTGAAGATTTAAAAACTCCCTTCGCTCCCCGCGCGAACTCGACTTCCGCCTGCTCGCGCACCGCGGAGACAGTCGGGGGCTGTGGAAGCAGCGGTTACCCTGACAACCCCGGGAGACCCCTTTTCGTTGTGGTTTTTTTATTTATTTTTAACACCGGGAGACCTCACGGAGCGGTCCTGGTCAGTGTAGATGTACCTACTCTGACCCTGAATTGTGTTTTGCATAGACAGATTAAAAAATAACTGAATCAGCCTTTGCCTATTGCACTTTTGTTTGTTTTTATATTATTCTCTCACTGTTTTTTATATTTAGTAATAGAATAAAAACAAGCCAGTGCCCTGCCCATATTAAGACGGAGAAATGACAGGAAGTAGTTTGGTCAAGTACCGGAAGTCTGTTTTGCTTTTTGCTTTTGCCTGTGTGCTTTCAGCAGCAAAGGTGTCACGAGTGTTACCTGTCTGGACACAGGGGAAGTCTATCTTTTACTTTATAACAAAGAAACAATACTAATATCCCACTGACTACTTCAGCAACGTCAGATCCGAAATAAGTGAAGCCCCCACTCTTAACGTCCTGGCTTTCGAATAGATATCGGTTTCTTCTTTAATTCCAGGCAGGAACAAATCGCGGTGCTGTAGTCTTCTCTGTGTCGCTGCTGGCTGGGCTATTACAATATTACCCCCTTTGTATTTCTTTTCAGATGTTTGTAGTTTCTGCAAAGTAAAATATATTTTGACGGAAGCCAGAAAGCCGAGCTCTCAGAGGAACACCTCCAAATAGAGGAAATCGCAGTAAAACCACAAATTAAAAAGCCGAACACAGCTGCCCAAAAAACAGCAACGCACCGAAACACAGGGCTGCAAAATAAAGCCTTTTTATTTTATTTATGTGATCGAGATAGAAAACAGTAATTATCACGGATGTACAAATTGGGAAAAAAAGAAGGGAGGAAAAGAAACGGTTTCTAAAAATGCCAACGAGACTTAAATGCGATTTCAACACATTAATAAATCAGAAGGGTTACCAACAAGAACTGTTTACATGTAGCATAGCAAGAATGCTTAACTAAGACCATGAACGGCAATGAGAATATACGTGCTTTCTGGCAGACGTGACATGCAATTTAAATAGCTCGTCTAGACAAACAGATTTGTTACTGATAAACAATTTATTTTTTCGTCTGCTGAAGCTACATCCTCCCCCTGTGCGAAGACTCGGTGAGAGAATCTGCAGTTATTGCATAGTCGTTGAAGCTGCATTCACAAGAACAAACGAGAGTGGATTCACCGGCAAGTCCACAAAACCACCAGTAAAACAGGAAATATTGCCATTTGACTACACCAGGCTTGTGCATTTGCGATGAGAAAGGAAGCCAGGTTCCAGATTGTTTTGTAGACCATACAGATGTTTTATAATCACAAACCCTGCCACTGTTTCCAATTGACCTTGTGTTTGAAGTGTGCTGCAGAACCACAGGTGATCAACACAGCAGGGCTGTGCAGTCCTGGAGGGACAGTGATTCTGCTCCGCTGAAGAACTGTAGATCCGGTCGTTATTGGCTTTATTAGATCAAATTAACAGCTGTTCCAACACTGGCCCTCTAGTAATGCAAAGCCCTGCTCTACAGTGTTCCTATCAATGTAGAAACTGCCTTTTTAGACTTTGCGCGCACACACACACACTCCCACCCGAACAACCCCAAACACAGCAGAACTGTCCAGCGTCCCCAGTGTTTCAGGTCATAATTTAAACATCAGCCTTCCTGCCTGAGCGTCTGCATCTGGCCCTGCCTGCTGCTACACAAGCTGAACAGTCCAGACAGTGGCTGTTTGTGCCTCCTCCATTTTGTGCTCAGTGTTTTGCATCACCTCAGAACAAAGGTTGTGTTTAACATTCAATGAGTCCATATGAACACCATCACAATGGTACCAAATAACCATGCCACTAGCTCTTCAAAGATACAGATGGAGAACATAATTCTAGTCCAGACTGAACTCAGTAGCCACAGTCCCAGAGAATAAGGTTGAAGGCAGTGCCTACAGAAGAAATGGGTCTGTATGATGAAAAAGATAAATCTGGCTCCAGATCCATAAATGATCCATTTTCTAGGACTGCAGTCCTATTGATCACCAAACATTAAATTAAATGCCTGTCTTTTTAAACATATATCTTCAAATCTTCTTATTATACAGTGACTATATTACAAGACCCACGTATACACACAGAGAACACAGATTAAAAAACAACAAAACAAGACCTTTTTTTTATAATCTCAGTATTATTCTACAAAGCCATCAGAAAAACCCATGAGCCAACATTGTTTCAGTTGCCACTAAAAAAAAACAGAATTATCTTCATTATTATAATTAAACATTCTCAATACCTATATGAAACAAATGAAAACATTTACAAACCCCCGTGTTACATTTTTAGATTAACTGTACAGACGCATCCCTAATGATGTAGGAGCACCCTGTGATGGTGTCAGAGGTCAGGGTTCACAGAGGTCACTGTGCAAGCTATGTAAAGGAACAGGAGAAAGAGGACACCATAGTATTCCAGTCTATCTGGGACGTGAGGGAGTTAGATTAAAAGAGGACTCAAGACCACCCCCAAAAAACAGGGAATGGAAGTCTGGGGCAAGTGATGCTGGTCAAGAAGAATCTCGGCTCCAGACAGCTTTCTTGACTATGCAGAGCATACAGTGGCGCAGTTAAGCTAATCACAAGGGAGGGCAGAGGTCCTCTGGCCGGCAGTTGAGGGGCTGTCACAACAGGAAAATCCGACTGCAGGGATAAACAGGAACAAGCAAGCTCTCCTCCACAATGTTTCTGCAAGGGTGGGGCAGCGGTGGGGCCTGAAAAGCGCTGGGCAGGCCCGTACCGACCATGGCGGGGGCCAATGGTGATGCTCAAGGGGCCACAGGAAGGAACCTTGGTTCCCAATTCTTCTGACCGATTCCTACTTGGCCACACCTTGTCACCTGACCACTGTGGCTCCACCAGGCCCTGCCCCTTCTGGAAGGTGCTGGCACTCTAGTGTGGGATTCAAGCCCCATGGCGCCTCTTGCTAGACAGCGGTGAACTGTGATGCCGCAGGGGCCTGGCTCCTCCACAGCAGCAGACTTCTCCACCGCCCGGACTTTAAGGGAGCGTCGTCACTGCAGTAATGTGTTCATAGCACTGTACCGTCCCAATCTGCTAACCAAAAACTGGAAGTCCAGCAAAAAAAAATGAAATGGGATTCCACCTGTGTTTAAATAAGCGATCAGAATTCTAGCTGGACCTTTAGGAGGAAAACAGCCCATAAGCTCAGACCCAGGGCAGCAGCAGTGAGACTCCATACAGGTTTCCCAAAGTTGAAAACTTAAGACTTGGCCAGAACTCCAGTCTCATATAAGGAAATGACTAACCATTTTACGTCATCTCAAAACTAAGAGACTCTAAAAGGCCACAAGGATGCTGCCAGACTGTATCAAACCCCACAGTGCACACACACCCAGGGCAGCTCTAACAGTCCATCCCACAAGCATCAGGGCCAGAGAGCACGCAAGCGTTACCATGTGCTTCTAATCTCCATCCAGTTACTTAATTGGTCTCCTTAAGTGAATACATAATTTGAAAATTAGGCCCCCTAACCCGTTTTCAAGTGTGAAGAGATGAAAGATAACTAAGTGGATTTGGAGTTAAGTGCCAACTGAAATTCTCAGCAGTTGAAAGTGTGTCAAGTTTAAGCCCGCAAATTATTTTGCTGAATTACACTGATGACAGTCCATTTGTAGTGGAGGTCTGAAGGCACTGGGGTCCCAGCAAGCGGACTTGGGACTTCTTTTAGGTCTTCACTTACTCCCTGTGAAATAAAAATAAGCTTTTGTTCTCCAGCCCTCATTCTAGCTAATAAAAGAGCAGGGGTCATCCTACATGTAGCACCTCCTATGAGAGCCAGACCTGGGCAGATCTAAACTCCCCAAGAGTTAGGTCAAGTCCGAGGGCATCATCTGGAGAAGTGCACTCCGATTTGACGGAGACTCCCAACTCCAAGCACAGGAACGCTGCCATCAGGAAGCAGGCCTGGGGCTTCTCCACGGCAGGAGACTCGGAATGAACAGAGGGAAGCACCAGTGGAGAAGGGAAACAACACCGCAGTTTTCAGCGTAGAAGAGCGGGGATCAGTGGGGCTTGTGAGAATGGTTCGAGCCCGCCCTGCTCCTTTGAGGTTTCAGTGCTTTTATCCGTTCTTGCCGGTACGGAGAAAACAATTACTTATAGCACCTAAAAATAAAACCCATCCTGCAGATTTATCTGAACGGCAGGAGGTTGTCCCTGAAAAATAAAAATAGTCCATTTCCTATAATTAAAAGAACAATAAACAAAATGAAATACTTATTACAACAGAAAATGTCTGTTTTAAGCTCTTAGGTGAAATGAAACAGCCAATTATATCAGAGCTTTATTAATATTAATCTTGGATTTGTTTTTACAGAACAAAAATGTGAAAAGAGCCATATTCTCCGTCAAAGTCTCTAGTTAAAACTGTACAGTTATCTCTATAAAATAAAGTTTTAATATAATTTATCTCTGTAATGAAAGATGAGGTTCTGGCCTTTAAATAAGAGATTCAAACAGTGACTATCGAGTACGAACAGTGATACCAGTCCAGAGTCAAGTTAAAAAAAAACTAAATTTAAAATGAACATGGGAAAAAATAAATCAGTCCTGTAACATGACACAGGAGCCACAGCTCAGGCCAGTCTGACCCTTGACCCCTGACCCCCTCACAATTTGTCTGACCTCCATCTCCTCCAATTGGTCAGAAACACACTGTAACATGAAATGTCAATAAAAAAAAAGTTCCACAGGTTTGTAAGGCAACAAGTTGTCCCATGTCTTGAAATGAGATTTTCGGATTTCCTCACTTAACACCGCATGCACATCTACACACGTGCACAGTCTCACATATACGTACAGATCTGTATACGTGTGGACGCCGCATGTGATTTATTTGCACCAGTACTCAAACAGAATACATCATCGGAGTTTTGCAAAGTAAAAATAATAAAAAAAAATAAATCTCAGTTTAGGTAGCAGGTGTAGCCAGTGCGTGTACACTGTCAGGCCAGTGGGGGCACTGTGAATGAGAGTGGTCTCAATACTGGCATAGAGTGGAGGGGGGGGAGGGTTGCCATTCAATTCCAGTGCCATCCCGCCCCCCTGCACCATGGACACAGACTGGCAGGGATGGGGATAACAAGGCCGAACTGGTGTGAACTAAGAGGAGGAGGACAGAGTTCATCACTGCAGCGCCCTGCATCCTTACCTCCAGCAGGAGGGGCGTATCATTTAAACCGACTGGTGTCGGAGCCTCTCTCTGGGGAGAGGCCAGAATCCCCGGGCGGCGGGATCCCGTTCTGAAAAGCGCCGGCCGCCACCGCTGTCTGGCGACAGACTCACAGCAATCGCCCCATGGCAGACCGAGCGGACTGATGGTAAATATACGGCCAGGACGACGACCGTGGAAAGAGCCCTTGACCAGCCCTCCGGTCACAGCTGGGTTTGGGGAGATGAAATACAACGCTGACAGCTGAAGGAGGGCAACAGGAACTCCAAGACAAGATCTCAGATTTTGAAACTATAATCGCATTTCCTGTCTGTCCCAAACCAATGCTCCTCCTTGTGCAGTTGTGGACAGTGAAGCCCTTCTCCATGGGCGGCAGGCAGCCCCATGGCTGTGTCAGGGGACTCCTCCAGCTCCCCAGTCTCCACAGAAACATCTGAGAGGTCCCACACAGGGTGCACAACACCCCTAAAGCCCTAGCAATCCCCCCTTCGGACCCCAGAAGAACATGGGGCTGGAGGAAAAGAGGTCAAGCAGGGAAAGTCATAATTATTTATATACACGTATACAAAAAAAAATTAAGTTAAATTTTAAAATATAAAAAAAAACAAATAAAATCCTGTCTCTGGGAAGGAGAGGAGGAGACTCGGGAAGGAAGTGGGATATCAAGAAGATCAACTGCCAAAGATAGCCTGTGCCAAATAATCCGAGATGCTTCCCTTCCTCTTGGATGCTCCTAGCTCCAAACCCAAGAATTCCCTCCCCAGCCAAAGTCTTCAGGAGTAAGTCCCAGAATCTGGTGCACCAAACTGAGGTGCAGCAGACGGGATCCAGGGTCTTCCAAGTGTACCCAGGTGTGCCAGAGTATGTCCAGGTATACCCGGGTGTGCCAAGGTAAGTACAGGTGTACCCAGGTGTGTACAGGTACACCCAGCTGCAGTGCTTCAGTGGCTGGTGATGGGGTGGGGGTGCTCTACATGTTGTAGGCCACGTAGATGGGGTCGAGCTGGTCGGCCAAGAAGCTGTCTCGCAGGTGCATGCGCTGCTTCTCCCCACGGGAGTTGATGGGGATGACGCCCGGGTCGACCACCACCACCACGCCCACGATCAGGTGGTGCTCCTCCAGGACCACGTTGGTCACCAGCGGCACCAGGTCCAGCGCCTCCTGCTCCGAGCCACACAGCTCCGACACCACCACCAGCAGATTGGTCCAGGTGAACACCGCACTGGGGGGGAGGGGGGGGGGAGGGGTGGAGAAGCACAGTGAGGGTCAGAGGCAGACAGGCAAGAGATGGGTACGAGACAGAGAGTGACGGGGATCAGAGTGAGACAGCAGCAGCTCAGTACGCACTCTCTGGTCACAGTAAAGAGTAAACTGCTCTGTGAATAATGGTCTATGTGTTGTGGGTGTTCTAGGCAAATGTCCTATGATGTATTTGTATTGTAAATGTATGCAGATGTAGTACCCCTTAGCAACACTGTAATTTACCTGATGTGCCAATAAAGCTGTTTGAATTCGAAGCCACAGAGAGAGAGTGAGAGAGTGATGGGGGATCAGAGTGAGACGAAGCCAGAGAGAGTGATGGGGGATCTGAGAGAGTCTAAGAAGCATAAAGATGAAGCAAACCAGACAGTCTGCATTGAGAGCAGGAAAAAAAAACAGCACCAGTATGCTGGACTGGGGACCTGACGGATTCATAGTGCAGCGTGCCCCCTCACCTCTCGGCGATGCTGCGGTGAGCGCGGGACACAGAGGTCTCGATGTCAATGGGGTGGTACCTCAGCCCACGCAGTTCCAGTGTCTCATCCAGAGAGCCCACCACAAAGAGCGCATCGTGGCGATCTGACACACACAGGACAGGCTTCAGTCATACGGTGGACTTCAGTTATAATAAACGATTAGTCAGAATGCAAGCAACAACAATTAATAATTGCTTACACTTATATAGAGCTTTTCTGGACACTCCACTCAAAGCGCTTTACAGGTGACAAGTGACATCATACAGACTGACTTGCAGCCACTGATTATTATAGACTGATTGTGTGACATCAATGAAAAATGGTTAATAATTGACCACTGTGTTCAAGCTGACCTCCACTGGCATCCAGCAGCTCGGTCCTCCTGACGAAGCCCAGGTACCCTGTGCGCGCCCACAGTGTCTGGGTGTCCCCGAAACTCAGCCTGGTGTTGAAGTGGTCAGCCTGCAGGCTCTCATCCCCGTAGATCGTGTAGTAACCACTGGCGCTGTGGGGGCTGTTCACCCAGATCTGGCACAGAGAGAGGAGCAGAGACAGAGCTGCATTGTGGGAAGTTCTCCCAGAATTCCTACTCCTGCCAGAGTCAGACCAGTGAGGAAATTCAAGAGAGCAGCAGCCCAGTATGTGATCTCCTGTCTCAGCCTGACGATAAGAGAATGAACCTCTCCAATAATAATAATAAACTTTATTTTATATGGCACCTTTAAAAGGTGGCTTCTCAAAGTCCTTTACAGAATGGGAACAGCAACAACAATTAAAAATAAACAATAAAAATACACAAGATAAACACAATGAGAATACACAGAGAAGACAGTAGATGGGGGTAACTAAATACAGTAGCAGAGGGGTAAGGGATGGAACCAGTTAAGTAAAGGCTCTTCTAAAGAAGGTTTTCAGTCTGGATTTGAAGGAGTTTAGAGAAGGTGACTCTCCCATATCCTTGGGGAGTGAGCTCCAGAGATTGGGGGCATCACAGGAGAAGGCCCTGTCACCCATAGAATATAGATGGGCTCAGGGGACAGTTAGGAGACCAGAATTAGAGTGAAGGTTGCGAGATGTGGAGCAGGGCAATAATAGCTCAGACAGGTACTGAGGTGCCAAGGCAAGCAGAGCCTTATAGGTGAGCATGAGTATTTAGAAGTCAACTAGAAACCTGGCAGAAAGGCAGTGCGAGGGCTCCAGGACTAGAGTAGAAGTTGGAAGTTGGAAGAAGTTGGAGAGAAGGGAACCAGAAAAGTTCGACAAGCAGAGAAGAGGTGTGGGAATGATATGAGTTATGGAGAGAATGTGATGCCGGATGCTGTCGATCTTTGAGCTAAAGAAATCTAAGAATGTGTTGCAGAGTTGCGATGAGGCAGGTAATGTGGTGGGGCAGTTTGGCTTGAGCAGTCTGTTGATGGTGGAGAAAAGATGCCTGGGGTTGTTATGGTAATTTTCAATGATGTGACAGAAGTAGGCAGATCTAGCAAACTCTATCGTATCCTTATATTCAGACAAGTAATCTTTCCAAAAGCCTGATAATGTTTATTTAGGCCAGAAAGATGCCACCTACGCTCAAGTTTCCGGGACACTGCCTTTGTAGACTGAAGATGGTCAGTGTACCAGGGGTGGAGAAAGAAAAAGAGATGGTGTGAGTTTTTAAAGGAGCAAAGGTGTCAAGGGTAGATAAAGGAGCGCGATTAAGCAAATGTATTTTGTCCTCTAGAGGGTCAGAGGAAGAGAAACAAGATAAGGAGGAGAGAACAGAATTAGCTAACCTAGGCTGATCAATTGAACGCCAGTTGCGGAAATTTACAGAGCGTGAGGGGGAAGTGTTAGAAACGGGTAATTCCAGATTGAAAAGAATAGCTAAGTGTTCAGAGAGGCCTAGATCAAGGGCAGAGCAATGGGAGACAAAATAGTCATTAGCAATTATTAAGTCTAGGGTGTGTCCTTTGTTATGTATAAGGCTACGATCAAACTGAGTTGCATAAAAAAGCATCCCAACAGAGCTAGAAAATCCTTAGCCAAACTGGAAGACCTTGAGTCAATGTGTATATTAAAAGTCAATAATGTTTATGTGTTGTCGGTTGATGTCTAATGCTGTTTTTGTTTTTACTGAATAGGTCTGTAAATGTTGCATTAATTGTTTCTAAATTGGCAACACTAATTCTGCGGTCATGCCAATAAAGCTCTTTGAATTTGAGAAAGGGAGGTGATGGAGAGAAGGTTTTAGTATATGGTGATTGCTAGGGAAATTCATGACCAGACAGATCCCACCATCCCTTCTGGCATTAAGCGAGACTAATAATCCTACAGTAGCCACAGGAAAGTGTTTGTGTGGTCTGCCTCAACACAAAGCCAGCCTGCCTCCACACCCTCCCCCAGGACCCCCAGGCGTTTCCCTGTGCCCCCACCTCCCACAAGTGCATCCCCGTCTCACCTCCCCCAGGTGGGAATCCCCCACCGGGCCGCGGGTCTCCGTGTTCACGATCACCACCCTCACGCCAGGCAGGATCTGCAGAAGACAGACGCAGACAGAAGAACCGTGAGGCCTTGCATGTGTGAGGAATCGGGGGGGCAGCACGGACAGCGGAGCTTGCAGACTTACCGTCCCAGACTCTGTGAGGGGCAGGCTCTGAGGGGCTCCCCTCTCCACCAGACGGACCCTGGAGACAGAAGAGAGAGGGGTGGGGAGGTGGGAGGGGATCAGTAATGAGAGAGAAAGAAAGACAGAAAGAAAGATCAGCAGATTAGGTGAGCACACCTTTAAGAGCCTGTACAAGACTCCTTTACATATTTCTACAACACTAGTGCAATATTCCATGAATATATATACTAAGGGTGTACGGTACATACAGCATGGTCCCAGTCATGAGAAACAGGGGATGTTGGGTGACCTGTAAGATGAACTGGGCTGCAGTGCTCTAGGACTAGGGGTAGGCAGTGTACACACACAAACACACAAACACCAGCTGCACTCCTGAGCTCCAATCCCCAGGTCCTGCAGCCTGGAGTGGAGTGTGTGGTTTCCCAGGACAGGGGGGGGAAGGGGTGGACGTACCTGTCATGCCTCAGTGACTTCATATCCACATACACAGTGGAGGGGTCCGGCCCAGTCGTGCCCTGTGCCCACAGACGGAGAGAGGTGTCAGCAATTCAGACTCTGTAGGGTCCTGTGCACAACCTGGAATACTTCCTCTCCTGTGCACAGTGCACTTTAGTGGACTAAGACAGAATTCCCTTACCGTGCTTTAATTTCACACCTCGGATAAAGCATCCCTATGCAAATACAAAGCACCTATACAGTAGTGTCCCCGTACAGAGTATTCTGGCCCTGAGTATTATTGAGTATAGAGTATAGTTCCCAATTCTAAACACACTGGGTTTGTATAGTCCCTACAAGCTGACAGGGCCTCTACACATAGTCCTCTCCGTACAGTGCAGTGTACTTACAAAGGTCTCTGTAAATCATGGTCCCTCTCATAGCATCTGATGCTACTATTACATATCTTAGAAAGTGTAAAGTGCCCTCTATCGTGTACAGTTCCATGAAAAAGTGTTCTCCCCCTTGATTTTGCAAATCTTTGCATATTTTCACCCCTGAATGCTCATGTGAGATTCAGGTGAGGCCTAGTGATGTATAAAGGAAGCACGAGAGCAGAAATAACAGCAGCGTCTGGTGCTCGTTTCATTTATGTCACGAACAAGGTCATGCCGACGCCCCCTCAGCTGACCTGCAGGCAGATGGCCAGGTTGACCCGGGACCCGAAGGAGGTGCTGACGGCGCGGGGAGACAGGCCCAGGTCCTTGAAGAGCTTGGAGAAGGACTGGCTCAGCACCAGGCGGGGGCGCTCCTCGGCCACAACCACGCAGCTCCGCACACAGGAGAGGTTCACCCCCCGGGCCTGGAGGGATGAGGCAGAGGGGCAAGAGAGCGAGATTCAGATGAGGGTGCAAGAATCTGGGAGGCTGTGAAACGGCTCATATCTAGGATGCTCATCAGCTCCAGGGGGCCTCACGGGTGCAAGTAGTGGCGAAGTAACGCGCAACAGAGCAGCTGCTGACCTTCAGAGACTCCGTCTGGGTGCCCAGGCCCTTCGTGCACATCTCCATGACGGAATAGGAGCAGAAGGTGTCCCGGATGCGGTGCTGGCTGAGCGTGGAGAGCCACAGCGCCAGGTTCCCCTCCAGCTCCATCGGGGGGATAAGGATGGACTGGTGTCCCGCGTAGACACTGCCGAAAGTGCATTAAAATGCCCAGTTGACCAGATCTCTCACACAGACACCACGTAGAAGACACACACATATTCAGCACCCCCCCTTCATTTAGGCATGTTTTGTGTTGTAATTGCAGCATCAAAATTTTGTCTTCACAAAAACGCAGTTAGCACTTTTAGTTTTGCCATGATAAATCGGTTTTAAAATGATGGCACTGCTTTACAGATCTTATTCATTCTCTGTGATTTGCAGTGTTATTCGTACTGCGCTTTGATACACTGGATATTGGTGACATTTAAAATATGTAATAACCTTTACCCTGTGTGTGGACTGCATTTGAGAAATAGCCTCCACAAAGACAGTAACTTGTGAAAGAGCGACTATCAGTGTGGAACTACACAGGGCGTAGCCAGGAGAAGAGCGCAGAGACCATTCTTTTGCTCTGCGTCCGCCCCGTCTGGAGTCTGGGGGAGTGAAAGAGGAAGAGGAGCACAGATGTGCGTGGCCGTGTCAGTCAGCTGGGGCTTGTTACCTGCACAGGCACCAGAGCACGAAGCCCAGGCCGCAGTAGGGGTCCAGACAGATGGCGATCTGCCGCGAGGAGTACAGCTCGCACTGCAGCTTGATGGAACGGCACAGCGCACTGACCGCAGCGTGGGAGATCTGGACACACCAGGCAGGACAGAGATGGGGGAGGGGAGGAGAGAGGAAGAGTGAGATGGTGACTGCAGGTCAAAGGGGGATCAGGAGAGAGGAGGGGGGTGTGAGAGAGAGAGAGCAGAGTGCCTCTGATGTGCAGACAGCGGTACCTTGACTCCAGTCAGCATGCCGGTGGTAGACACGCTGAAGTCCAGGTAGGCCATCATCTCGGCTGTGGGGGGTCTGTAAATCTGGGGCGGGCGTCGCCGGGGAAGATCGTCTTGTGGAGAAACAGAGCGAGAGATTAACATACCGTTACAGAACGATCGGAGTAATGTTTGCAAGCAAGACCAGAAAAGAGCTCCTGTTTCAATCAAACAGTCACACGTACTAGATCGTCCTCTGCTGAATATTTTCACTATACTTCACAAAGGCCCACCCAGCTTTGCTAAGCACAGACTGCAATTCGTGCCCAACTACCCACCCAGCACACCTTCACGTGCAGGAAAAAAAGGCAGAAGGAGATGGAGACCGAGCCCCACAGCCCTGGGCAGCAGGCTGACCTGTGTCGATGATCGTGGGCCAGGTCTTGATGTTCACGGCAGCGGCAGCTTCCTTGGATCGCAGGGTCTTCATCAGGACCTGGGTGGTCAAGATGCAGGCGGCCTTGCTGACCTGCCGGAGAGAGGGAGAGGGTGACCAAGGGATGGAG